TGGGACGGAAGAATCAATACCGCCTAGAGCGATATGGCTAGGATTACATTTTAATCTATTCCATTCCACGCACTTTACCGAACAGTTATAATAACTGTAAATATAAGTAAATATATAAATTTAGTAAAAGCGGACTGGAAATCACCTGATTTATAACTGGGCAAAATCTAAAAGTTTATTTTTCTAATCAAAATTATTGTTATGTACTAATTTCTACAATTTAAACCAAAAGTATGTATAATTTACCGAAATGGAGCTATACTATATAAATTATTATTTATTCGTGTAAATAATGAATCGATGTATATAACAATAAATGTTTTTAATCATCACTAAATATATAATTTGCGATTTTTTTTTCATAACGCCATTTTCCAACTATTGCTCATCAAAATCAACTATAGGTATAATTTATAAATCCTCTCTTATAATTATAAACTGCTTCACGTTATAAGTCGTAATATACAATATTTATTTTATCTATAATATTCAGCACGCGTGCATTTGACACCATTTAGCGTACGAGCATTATTAAAATTTCTTTTTTATATTAACTATCATAGGAGATAAAATTCATTATTCTCTAATATACATAAATAAATTTTATAGCAATTACCTCTTAGTTTGCCTTAAATTTGAGCAATGGACACATGAAGAAATGAAAAAAATGATTTATAAATACAATTTCGTAAATGTATAATTCTATGAGTCGTCGTTACCAAATTATATTAAATTATCGATTTAATATTATAATATTCCAACATTTACAATTTAATACATCAAATTTCTCAGAGATGATTGCTATCAATTTTATTTTTCATCAGTTTCGTTTTATTTATTTTATTATTATTATTAAGGTACGTCACAAAGCTTTATAAAAAATCTCTTTCGCCATTTATATCTTCATAATTTCCGGTCTCATCGTGTCACCATAGAGCCTCAATTCTGGTAATAACGTAACAATAGCTTGCGAATGGCATATCGATTATGCATTAATAGCGTTACGATAACATTACTTTTTGTTTTTATAAAAGATTATGTTAAGTTGTCGATGATTTTCTAAGATGCCACTGTGTTATGGACAGCATGTAGCAGATATAATTCAAGCCATTTATCGAAACGCCACTAAGCAATCGTTTGCTTCAACAGTATTGAGGCTTTGCGGAGATAATCGGATGAGGCTCTTCGTCTACATATAAAATCACAAGGAGAGCACAATCTTTTTTACCTTCATAAACAGTTTTCTGTCATTCACCTTAGTTCGTGATACACTTTATAACCGACCTCGCATCTTCACAAGTGCTGTCATCTGAAATAGAGAAAATTCGCTTTAAGTTTGAGTAAAAACCTTTTTATGTTATTTATTTTAAGAGTCATACCACATTTAGGCATGCTACCTGTTTACCTTTTGTATTAGCCAAAGACTTGTGTAAAGAAAATTTTCGTGTTGCTATTTTCAAAGATTTCTTATCAAAATAAACTGGAGATACCAATATTTTTTTCTACCTTATAATTACACTGTTCCTTACTTTGTTCTTGGTGCTTTGTATCTTGTAATAAATTTGGAACGATATTAAATACGAGGGTCAAACTGAAAGTTCTTAGAAAATCAAAAACTGATTACATTAGCCAGTTATTAGTTTTATTATATCTTTTCAAAATATTGTCCATTCACGTCAATACACCGCTGCATGCGATGGAACCACTGGGAAAAGCACTTTGCCCACTCGTCCTTAGGGGTCTCTTCAATGGCATCGCGATACGCAGCCACCGCTTCTTCAGCATTCATAAACCGCTTTCCTTTAAGTTTTTCTTTAATTTTTGGAAATAAATAAAAATCACAAGGCGCGAGGTCGGGGCTATACGGCGGGTGACCCAGTAATTCAACGTTTGATGTCGCCAAATAGTCGATCGTTCGCTTGGCGGTGTGCGACGAGGCGTTGTCGTGGTGAAGGAGGATCCTACTGCGAGGTCGTTTCTCTCGAACTTTTTCCAAGACAAGTGGCAAACAATTGGTAGTGTACCATTCTGCAGAAACTGTTTTTTGATCCTCTAACACAATTGTTGCAAAATGACCTATCCTTCCAAAGAACGAGGCCACCATTTTTTTTCCCGCACTTCGATCTCTCTTCACTTTAGTTGGCAACTCCTCGAAAGGAAACACCCACTGAGCAGATTGTCTTTTGGTTTTAGGATCATAACAGTAAATCCAGCTTTCGTCACCTGTTAGTATGTCGAACACAGCATTTGAGTCACCTCCGTTAAATCTTTCAATCATTTTACGACACCAATCCACACGATGGAGTTTTTGAGCCTCAGTCAAATTATGAGGTATCCACCGGGCGCAAAGCTTCCTGACCGCTAAATGTTCGTGGAGGATTTTGTGCACTTGACTCATACCGATGCCTAAGCTTGTCCGAATCTGTTGATAGGTCACTCTTTTGTCAGTCTCTATCATACGCCGCACAACACAGATGTTATCTTCAGTCGTCGCCGTAGAAGGCCGTCCCTCACGTAAATCATCAGTGAGATTAGTGCGACCACGTTTAAACTCATTAAACCAGTTGTAAACAGTCGCACGAGATGGGGCTTCATCGTGAAAGGCCAATCGTAGTCTATCATAACTTTCTTGTTGACTTAAATGACATCGAAAGTCATAAAAAATCATTGCACGAAAATTTTCTCGTGTTAAATTCATGATGACGTGACACAGACAATTTTCAATTTGCCGCCAAATCGTAAAACAAATGACAAATGAATGAAATATATACTCAGTAATATTGGCAAAGAGTTATATTTTCAAATTTTAGAATTATTTTTTTATTATATTGTTTATAAGTGGCCAGTTCTAAGAACTTTCAGTTTGACCCTCGTACATTTGTTGCAAATAAATACTTCTATTTCCGTTCCCAGTCATTTGCCAAAGTGAGATCTGTGATAGAAGTGAGAGCTCCTGAGAGCTACTTTTCTCCAATCGCTTTTTTTTTTTGCCGATTTTTTGTTATAGACTGTAGCCTATAGTTGGTAGCCACTCGCAAATAGTTGTTGGTGAAATTACTAACTGGTAACACTGCCAAGATGTCTTAATTAAGTATGACATTAAAACTAACGAAATTTATTTTGAAATGAACATGTAAATCTGAGGAATATAAGAAAATACCAGGATTTTGGTAAATGGATGTCTGTGAGAGGAATTTTTAGGTATAATATAATAAATATGTTGCAGCAGATATATAATGCCAGCTGAAACTATATATACCCTACAAAAATGTATGTACATATATATGTGAATATAAGCTTCACATTGATTTTAATTTTTGTTTAATTCATTAATTGCTTAGATAAACAGCATTTATATGTTATTTTTTTGTAAGCTTAAAGCGGCAACTGTGTACATTTTACGTGGTATTAGCTATAATAAGGTGCAAGTGCAAAATGAGTGTTATGTATCATTGAGCCTTAAGCTTCTGGTGACAAAAGCTGAATTAGCTAACGTACCTCTGTGTTATTTATTGTTGTATTTCTCATTAGGCGTTCACGAATGACGACTTGGTCCTGGTGAAACAAGAATTTGTGTCAGATAACAAGCATCATCTATGTTCTTGGATCATTTTTAAGATACTTTTTATTTTAATTTGATGTATATGAAATATCATACAATTCAAGCTGTATATCCGTTATGTTTGTTTTAATTTGAACGCTTTTTCTTAATATACACTATACACCAAAAGAAAAATCATATATTCATAATGAGCGATGTTAACGAAAACTTTGATATTTCTTAGTTATATAGCACCAAAATGTGTATTTTTTTTTTAATTCAATTTTTAACAAAATTAGTAGCACATAGCTGACTTATTACGCCTTCCTAAAGAATTGAAACTCAGAAGGAGTAAAAAAAAAGCTAAAAGATAGTCTTAAGATGAACTAACGCACCGTCTGCACGACACGCAACGGATCTCTTTGCATGAATTTGTAGAGTACTCCGTCCATTGTCGGCGCCGGCCGCACGGCCGGACACGCTATATATGAGCAATGAAATTGCTCATGAAGTCATACGGATTACTATCATAGAGCTACTATGCATACTTCACAGGGTTATATCAAACCTATATAATTCCGATATTAAACGGACTTTTCATAGAAGCATATAATGAAAAATGCGGATGGAGTTGACGCATGACATCGGAAAATCGGTACAATCCGGAGCATGTTCTGCGGCCGGCGCGTAGACGTATGTACATAATCGACAACTACCTTTAACCTTTACTGGTGCAGCCTAAATCGACAGCCTAACGTTAATATTACAAAAATAGGATTTAACCTCTAATATTTGAGAAACTTGCTCAACATATGCAATCGAAACCAAAGTTTTGATTTTAAATAATTTATTGAGTTTTATTTTTATTGTATTACGCAATACGTAAGTGAATATGTCATAATCATAATCAATAATTATCTGTATTGGTATTTGTGAAAAATACAGCATCAAGCACAGCGCTGTCGCAGCATTAGAAGTTGAATTAAATAAAGTATTTATTGGAGTAGAAGTCTAATGCTGTGAGATGACAGGGCTATGTTCCACACTGTATTCTTAGCAGAATAGCACCGCTGTTGTCGATTCATCAAATTCAAACAATCCGACGAAGTCTTGACAGTTTCATGTTAAACAGTCATTATATATAAAGTTTTGAGTATGTCGACATATTATGAAAAGCCTAATGCATGTTGAGTTTTGTTCTTAATGGGCACAGTGTTCGAACTTTCGTTTAATTGAAATTGTTTATGAACTGTTTATGACAACAATAAACAAGTATTAAAACAAAAGTAAACACACAAATTTGCCTACACTTAGTAAAATACAGGTTTCTAATAATCTATATCAATATATGAATGGTTAAATGTACCTTTGGACTTGGCATATAAACAGATACATGCCAAATTACTAATAGACTATTAGAAACAACAATTTAATAATTAAAAAAATTAAATCTACAAACTTACCCAGATAGAGATGCTGAATTGGAAATTGGTGGACTATTGGACTCGAAGCCTTCCTTCGGCTTCTCGTTAGCTAACTGCATCTTGAGTTGATTGCCAAAACATACAGCCAAATCCTCCCTGAACGTGTCAGATCCAGGAGTAGTCGGCTTCTCATCGTCTCCAATCGCCATCGCCTCCGCGTCGTTCTTCAACGGTGCCTGCTCTGATTCCTCCTCTGTATTATAGATTTTGAAGTATGCAAATGTCAAGTATATCACTGATATTATGAACGATGGAATAGGTATCGCCATAGCGTAAACTAAATTCAAGGTGTTCTGCCACATATCCAACTCGGTGATTACTAATCCTGGGTCTACTCTGCTGTAGTAACATGAATAGTTCGTACCTAAAGGCCTGTACTTGCCATAGAATACGGTGCAATTCAAAATGGGTGGGTAACCACACCCTTTTACGTTTGGAAAGAGACGTGCACCAGTGAAATACCATTCGGAATCGTTCCCTTGTAATCCAGTCGGCGGTACGTCTGGTAGCTCCTGTTCTTCAGCCATGTCTGGATAGTTTTTCTCAGCTACCGTCTCGTAGTTCTCGTATTCGTAGTCTTTCCGCAAAGCTCTCTCCACTCTGATCAGGTTCTCATACTCTGTGGCCGTAATATTTGCGTCGTAACCGAGTTTATAGTTGACTCTTATTTGGGTACACTCAAAAAGGTCTTTAGTGCAACCTTCTCTACACGATGCCCAGGAGCAGTTGCTGACTCCGACTAAGTGTTTCACTGAGGCGGTTACACATAATGCCGCTACTGGATCAAACTGCATAAATATTGTGGTGAAGGCAGGCTCTATGACGAACGGTACTAAGAATAAGAAGGCGAAAAGGCTAAACGTGGCAAGCAGAACGAAGCTGGCTGTTGTGTAGAATAGAAGTTTCTCGAGAAAAGTTGGGGGAATTTTCTCTTCATCGGCCATGGTGGCGAGGGCGCGCTAGAAGCGACCATAGCGCTAGCTTCAGCTGTTCCGTGTCATTTCAAGGGAATGGTCATCACAGTCCGGGTTTTCGCTTCTGGTGGCAGTGTTAAAGATGTGACTTCGGTATTTGGTCAGTCACATTTTATACCTACGTCTGCAAAATATGATTTCATTATGGTTTACTTGGAATATTTAGTGAAATTATGATGTGTGATGAGAAACAAAATGAAACTACCTATTTTTGATAAATTCAGGAGTATTAATATATACTTAATCATTTGACAAGATCAAGGCTCATAAATAGCCCTACATTTTGTACGGTCTTACATAAGCCTAATTCGTTAATTTATTTTCTAGTTATACCACCACCACTTTTGATTCCATAATACGTCACCTAATGCTAATGTTTAAACTTTGATATCTTATCATTAAAGTTAAAACAATAACACCGTTGCAGAACACAATTTGTACAAAAATAAATAATGATTTATTTATTTCTCTTTCAGTTCAAACACTATCGATTGCTATATTAAAAAAAATCGCGATGAAAATTGATTGGTTTAAAACAATGAAGCCTTATAGCTTCTCCACTGTTATTGTACAAAAATAAATAATGATTTATTTATTTCTCTTTCAGTTCAAACACTATCGATTGCTATATAAAAAAAAAAATCGCGATGAAAATTGATTGGTTTAAAACAATGAAGCCTTATAGCTTCTCCAGTGTTATTTTCTAATCAGATTTAAAAGCCCTTCGCGAGAGAGCACTTAAGAACCTCTACAATATCTACTCGATAGAAGCAGCCACTCCGCAAAGAAGAGGCTGTTTATTGAAAGAAAAAAATTATAACTCTTATCAAATTTCTTTGAACTAACCGTAGTATGGTGCTCACCTAAATAATATTTTTTATTTTATACTCAATTTAGATAATATTTGGTAGGTAATTTTGGTATCCAAGAGCGAACCGAACTCGCATGGATTTCTGCACTAAGATTAAACTAGGAAAATATAAATAGATCAATTTTCTACATTTTTTCCGAAAGTAGTTTCAGAGTATATTCATGCCATTTCGATAACCCAAAAGTGAAAATATCTGTCAACATCAACATTTTTTTAGAGCTTATCAAAAGACGTAAAAAAATATATTTTAAAAACAATGATATATTTTTACTATTGTCATAAACCTTGGGCACAAGCCACTTTACATAGTAACTGAAGCCCGGATTTATCTGTCAGAATGAAGCCTTGAATGATATGTCAGACTGACAGATCAATCCGGGCTTTAATAACGAGGCATAGCTGCTGGAGCTGGTGTTGTTTAAGTACTTTTCTATAATTTAGTATAAATATATTATTGTCAATTCATTATCTCATCAAATAGAAACCAGCCAGGTGCGAGGCGAACTCACGCACGAAGGAATTCGTGACATTATCAATTAAAAACGCCGCCTAGTGTCAACAAGCACTTGTAGAAGTTCAGAAATGGTGTAATATAACAGCTATCACTTAAATCCAGTCAGACATTCCAGTGTTATCCTAGACAACAGACGCCTCTGATTCGTAAACATTAGCTTCGTGTGGTCCCAATGACAGCGTGTGAATACCGACCTAATTTCTAGTGTTTATATCCTTTATGTTAATACTCTCAAAACAAAGATAGAATAGTATATAAATAAAAGTTATTAACTGTGTATAAAAAGCCGTTTTGAACTATAGTAGAATTGACTCCGAGGTCACTACTGTGTTAACACTTATCATCATAAATGGACTGCTGTATATCATAAAATTTATATCGAAATATAATTAATGGCCTTAATCTCTAAAAACATAAATTGTATTGAACATAGATTGAATACTACCACTCCTTTTTTTATAGGGATAACAAACCGATTTGGCTAATTTTTGTCTTAAATGGAGCAAGTTGACTGGGCCTGGATCAACCTGTCACTTAGAGAAAGTGCAACAAAAACTCAATTTCCTCTAACGATGTAAAAAGAAGAGCTCCTTTTAAATCGTTCAAGATTTACCAATTTATTTATAATACACATCCAGTCCGATAAAATTGCTACGAAATCGCCATAAATTAGACCAAACCCGGCAACTGGCGCCTGTCTGTCTGTGCGAGCTAGAAAATAATAGCTAAAATTAGCCTGGCGTATACAAATAGATCATTAATTTTATTTAATGGTTTGACTCTTATCCGAGTAATCGTCAACAAATAAAGATAGATTATAATATATGGATATTAATAATTCATATTGGTTTCTTTCACGCGAACTATTCATTAAATAAAATTAAATCTAACATTAACACGTTTCATCCGTTTAAAAGTTAATACAAAAATTAATGTCACCGATTGAAAAACTCTGGTATTTTATTCCAGGAAAATAACATTGCGTACACAGAGTGTGACATAATTATTTATTGAATATAAAAAAACCATAACGAAGTATTATAATAAACATTTTAACAATATTTAAACTTTGTGATCGAACTTTAGTCTATTTTTTCTGTCTATTTATCTATATCCTAAGATTTTAGGTGGTTAAGGATTTTTGTTTAAATTATTTTATCTTAAATTTCTTTCAAACTTGTCACAAGTTTTTTATATCATCTAGTCGGTACATCTTCAAAAATACAGCATTTAATATAATAAAATCTTTTTTGGTGTAGGTAAGTTAACAATATATTTTAATAGACAACCTAAGTTACACATAATTATTATATTTGGTGCACTTTTATTTTATTTATTAAATCTTAATTGCAACTTTAAGCTTATTAGCAAAAATTTAATATTATAACCCAATAAATTGGCACTTATAATATTATCTCTCATTAATGCGGTATAGCTATTTTCAAACTATAAAATAAACTTTCATCCCCTATTGCAGCTCCTTCAATACCATTGTTTCCCTTCCTTGTGTTAGACATAAAAATAGAAAACGTAATTAGACAGACATTATTACTTTCGCATTTTAAATATTAGTGTAAAGTTCAAGCATTGGAGAATACACGATTCCAGACATTTTGTAACTTTAAAAAATATGCAGTCACAATTGATTGGAGCAGCCCTAATTGCGAAGAATTTTAAGATAGAATCCCATTTTGGGCATCGCTGATTTACGAGAATTTTAAACAATTTTAGTCACTCGAATAACTCGAAGCGGTTACGTCTTCTTCTCCGCGTTTCTTTATACATACATCATGGCATATTTATGCACTATCAAGTCACGTTGAAGCGTAGTCAAATTTTGTTTTGAGTGGAAACTTATATATGAGGCAAAATGTAAATAATACCTGTTATTAAAGATCAGTACGTATGTCAAAATTGTAATAACGTACTGGGGGCTCATTTTTATATCAAAATACTGCAATCCTAAAAATCTAATGAGAATCAGACACCTCAAATATATTAAGCCGTCTATACTACGGAATATGTCTAGAATAAATATACTAACCTACATGAAATCTTAGGAAAACGTTACACGCCTTTGGCAGTCGACTAAAAGCCGTGTATTACACTATAGCCGACATGGCGCCTGACTTTTTGTCCGAGTTGAATCCGTCTAGTTATTGATCTAGCTAGAATTAGCCTACGGAATACCTCAGATGACACACACCAGCCACAACAGGAATGCTTTCTATTTGGAATTGCATTGTTTATCCATGGTGATTTATATTTGCAGTAATTTGAAATATTCATTGATTGTATTAGAAGTTACAGTACTAAACTTTTACTATCGAGTTTAATTCAAAATTTGGTTCGCAATTTAACAGAAAGAAAAAAACACAGAAATGATAAAAGGAGATTTTACTTTGAGAAAAACCTCCATTTTTAGACATTATTTTTGGATATTCTATCTTTACCGTCTACTATTTTGTTTCGTGTTCAGCTTTCAACGTATTTAAAGTTCATTTGTCTCATTCCACTTTCATTGTAATTATAAGTTCTTTAATATTCATGACTATAATTGTTTTCTTTTTATAAACGACTTCAAAAAAGAGAAGGTTCTCAATTCGACTGTTAGTTTTTTTTGTGTGTTTGTTACGCGATTACTCCGCCAATTATGAATCGATTTACAAAATTCTTTTGATAGCTTAATGGGCCGAGGTGGTCCCACTTAAATTTTATCGAAATCGAATAAGTAATTTTCTTTTTCTAACAAAATCAAATATGAATCCAACTGGTATGTATATTTTTTTATGCAAGTAGGTATGTTTTTATGATTTATTCGTATTTACGTTGTGCAAATAAATAAAAATTTCGGGACTTTCTTTATGTAATTATTTTTTATATAGATATTTGATATTTTATTGATAGCTACACACAATATTAATATATACAGTTGGCTCATTATAAAAAATCACATTTGACACCTACCAATATACATATATTGATAGTGAAGCCTCCTTCGCAAAATTTTCAATTAACTCAACAAATCGATATGGTTTATAAAGAAATGGGAATCGAACAAAGTTATTGTGTTATACAATATACTTCATGAGATTGATTTAGACAATGTAACAAGAACGCACAAATTAGTTATTACTAAGCGAATGTAAAAACTTTAAGAGTGAGAATAAACCCAAAACACCTTTGTATCTCATTGCCCACGGCAAATTGAAAGCGGTTGTTAACTGCTGCATGATTTTATTGGTCACAAAGCGATTAACGTATTTATCACTTTTCCCAATAAAAGAAAATACAATAAGAAATGGAGAATATTAAGACTATATAGGTAACTTTGTTATTTGGTTCTATAGTGAAAATTTTATAAGTTCACGTTTAGGATATGACCGAATCCTTACAAATATAAGTTAATGGCCTCCTTAAATGTAACCAGGTATTTTGAACACTATTACTAGGTCAATGTATATGAGTTTATTAAAGATTTTTTTGGTGCGAGTGATTGAAAATCCAACCCGTATATTCTTTAAGTTCAAAACGGTATGTACGAGGAATTGTTTATAATTTAAACGTCACCTGTTTAAATAATATTTTAATGATTAGAATCCCAATGTGGTTATTTGTTCTTGTATTCATAAATTAATATCAAATCAACTTCTGACTAGACAAAACAATCTGTCCGATTTTTTTGAAAACGTCCCTACTGTTTAAAAAGGCAAAGGGTCTACAGATATAACATTATAGTAGA